CTGCATTGTCAAGCTATTCCCCCTAAAGCAATCTTTGAGAGTTTTAGTGGTCAGTAGTGGAAATACCTCTCAACTTTTCACTGATGAAGTGGGTGAAGCTTTAAAGCAAGTCATCGTGTTGTGAGGGAGGAAAAGGGCTTTGGCATGGGAGCAGAGGTAAAAAGAATTTGCTGCTTCCCAGCTCCTGTGTTAACTGCAAGGTCTTTTCCAGTCTAAAACACCACAGTACATGCTGATAAATAATTTGATCAGTTACGTATGGGATATCAGGTCCTGGAGAGATCCTGAAGCACCTTGTTACCTTGTGATGAGTTGTGCTACAGAAGGAAAAGATGGGGAGAGGGGACTTAGGAGAATCTCACACAAAATTGTTACTAGTGCTGCAAACGTTGTTACTCATCTGATTTTTACTTCCCTGATTGTTCTGATTTTGCTGGGACAGAATCCCAGGCCAGCCGTGGTCTGCAGGCTGTTAGCAGTTGGGAGCCAGCCAGGGCAGGTGACCCAAGCTGGCTATAGGTGTGCCCTAGACCAGGAGAGTCATATAAAGGGGGAAGTTTGCTGAGAACAGGTCCTCCTGCAGGGGCTCCTGCTTCTGCTCCTCCTGCTGGGTTTGAGCTCCTCCTGCTTCCCAAGGACAGCTGTCCTGTCTACTGTGACCACTGTACTCGCCTTGGGCTGAGTATAACTTTGTATACTTTATACTGGCACTGGTATTTGGCTGTTTTGTTAAATCTGTCTTCATTTCAACCCACGGGTCTCCTCACCGTTTCCTGATCCCCATTCTTTGCCGTGGAGGGGTCACTGGGTGACAGAGAAACTGCTGTAGTTTACCCATACAGGCGAAGTGTAGACAGTGAGCTAAACCTACCAATCCCAGTGTCTGGCTTGGTGTACTGGACACTGAACCTGGGTGTAACAGGAGAGAGAGGTCTGCTTCCCAAAAGCTTGGAAAGATATGACCAGCAATGAATATGTAGAAGTATGAATTTCAAAATATCTTTTTTGTAGCATGTGTTGCTGTTCCCCGAGTCGTTGCCTAAGTTCATTGAGTGTTTTGGTGATGCTCTTAGGAGAGATGGTAACATGCATTATGTTAGAAAAGTGATGGAAGGAAAATTGGCATCTTAGAATTTTTGATTAGAGAGATCCCATAAAATGTCTTAGAGACACACACCTCCACCACCCTGGTCTTTTTCTTTTTTCCCTTCCCCCTTTTTTAATAACCTATGTGAGGTTATACATGGGTCAGAGACTTACTACATAAACATGTGTGTAAAGCACAGGTTCCATTACCAGTAGAGAGTGTGCACAGGTTATTCAGTGACTGAATGTATTTCAGGTTTGCTGTCAGAAGGTAGTATAGCTACTGATTTGGACCTACAGAACTCACCTTTGGGCATCGAGTACTTTAGATTCTTCTCCTTACTATGCAATTCTCTTCTGAAGTGCAACTCCATATATACCTCTGAGGAAATCAGTTTTTCCTCTTTGTCTCACTTCTGTCCTCTTCCCTTTCATAAATGTCCAAAAATCTTGAGTGAATAAAATGTAGCATTATGAGAACTCAGGTCTCAATAATGGTTTATCAACTTTATACAGTTCTGGCAGTGAAGGCTTCTAAAAGTTTCATCTACTTTCTGTGATAGGAGAGAGCTATTCCCACGATCAAGGCCTTGCAACTATTAATTTTACATCAGCAGAGTAATTTTAACTAATACGATGGATTTTTTTCTGCTGAAAATGCTGTTTCAATTTATACTTCCACAAAGGATGCCAAAAAGAGATTCCAACTAGTTGTTGAAACTTTTAAACTTATTCCAGAGCTTTACTTTTAAGCTGTCTGTAGTGCTGGCTACACAGTAGTTCCAGTTAGACCTGAAAGCTATTTTTAACTGAAGTGATTTACAGTCCTTTATAATATACAGGAAAGGCCTCCTGATGTTGAACCTGGGTACTGCTTCTTAGCTACCTGGGTATTTGAGAAATACAGTGAACTTCAGCATATGTTGTGTGTGAGCCAGCTCGTAGTCTGTGCATCACCACTAGGACATCTCTATTTCCACTTGTGCTCCGTAGGTTAATTTGTTTCAAGCATGTAAATAAGAAATATACACAAAAAAACCCTTATTTTTGAAAGTATGAAGCAATTAGAAAGATACTTTTAGTCAAGTAGCTTGGAACTGCTGGGAGCTGAATTTTTGGTATTCTAAAAAAATTAATGACTTCACATCATTTTCCTCACAGCCCTGAATATTTTTAGATTCATTATTTTCTAAAATTAACTGTAGTGCTTCAACAAAGGACCTAACCAAACAGTATGTTCTTAATCATGGACCACAGGAGAAAACATTGGAGGAAGAGAAATATGAGGGGGAATATCTTTTGATTTAAAATGAAAACACCAATTTAAGTGTAAATCTAAGATAAATACATCAATATTTTTCTGACTCTTTTGGCTGGATGAGCTGGGAAGGGCTTTCTGCTGATGATCTCTGAAATCTTGTATCATTAGTGACAAGTCTGCTGTGACTAAAGTAGCAGATGCTTAGATTAAAGGCAAAAAAAAATGCAGGTTGTTCTTAATGTTTCTTAAATATGCTGGTACAGAATGCACTGTAGAATGAAACCTTGGATGACTGTAATTTTTTAAGTTCATCAGTTCCATAATGTTATTAAATTCCGATTGAACAAAAATATTACTAACTTCATCTTCAGACCTTCTTTCTTAAAAAAGACTCACTTTTATTTTATTATGTTTGACTTTAATATTCTGTGGGAAAAATATTTTCTTTTCCATTAGGGAATTTATAGATTCTTTCAATATTCTGAGTTTTATCCAGAAGATGTTATTGTAAATAATTCAATCTTTCCCCAGTTGTATTAATTGCAAGTTAAATATTTTTAATACCAAAATTAGATGCAGCAGAAATAATATTTTCTCTCAAAATTAGATTTAAAAGTTCCATATCTTTCCTCACAAAATCTCATAATAGTGGTTTTAGATATTAGTATTAATCTTATGTACAAATTTGAAGGCAGATTGTCAAAATATAATTGGAAAGCTCTATGCAACAAATTAAATACACTCAAGTAGCACAGATGAAAAAAGCATCTGTTTTGAAGTAGTTTCATTAGAAATTATAATACTAGAGGAGGGAAAATTGCATTTGTTTGAGGCAAAATTAGAAAAAAATATGAGAATGTTAGCTGCAAAGAACAGGAAAATAACTATGGACCCTAGGAAAAACAGTGTCATCTAGAATTTATGTTGAATGAAAAGTTTTCTGTTTTTATGTTTAATGACTTCAAGTATGTTTAGTATACTTACATTATTAAGACCTAATGAAAAGTACTGATTTTAGTGATTCCTTTCCTTTCTGCATTTCACTCTGCTGAATGAATCCCTTCATGTTTGTTGAACAGCTTCTAACTCTTGTTTTCTTGGGGGAAGGCTGAGGATGATAGATATCAATGTAGTCAACTACATGCTGTCTTAAAGTAAGGGGAAAAATTAATTTACCTTTCAGATTACTAGGGGGTGGCTGAAAAAAGGAAGCATCTCTAAATCCTGTTAGTTAAGGGTATGCTAACCTCTGGGAAGGTTAGAAGCATAATAGTTCGTGAGATTTCACGTGCTCACAGTCTTTGCTAAATCACATAAATTACAAGAATGATTTTCTTTCAGTATTTCCTGTATTTCTACTTCAGCTGACAGCTGCAAACAATAATCAAAGAACTGTTTAATGACAATTTTTTAAAAAACTTGTTTTGAAAGAATTGTGGTCTGGTAACTGAATGTAAGTTGGGAATTACTCTTGTATAAGGAAAACATGCCTAGTATTTTAATTAATCTTATTCTTCCAAACGTATTTGACTCAACTTTGTTGAGTTATATTGCTTAGAAGTGAACACATAACTTCTAAAGTCTCACAAATCTTCATGTAAATTATTAAATCGAGTGGCTCACAAATCCTGACAGCTTGGAGTATGCCAGTATACGTGTATATATATAAAAAATTGTGTGTGTATATCTAAGGATATATACATACATATCTGAAAAAAAAAAAAGGTGTCATATTCTAGTCTTCCTGGCGGACTGTGTTCCAGAAGTGCAGGAGGTTTTTTTTCCCCTATGTGAAAATATAGTTGTTCTTACTTCTAATCAAGGTTCAGTCTGCATTCAGCTGGGACTGCTGAAATACAACTTTAAGACAGATGTTGAAATAGTAAGGCATTTCATTTAGGTTACTTTAAGAAGCCTGAACTTCTGACACTTCTTCAACATGATCATGCATTGCAAAAATGTTGCTTAAAATTGATTTGGTTATTACTTTTCCTTTTTTTCCCCTTTAAATAAAATGGTTTAATTTCTTTTTTTTTTTTCCTTAATCCTGCTTACATGCTACAAAGTAGCTTATGTTTATGTGTTTCTTGTTTGAAAAAGTACTGAACTCTTTACATGTATCAGTAATCACTTGCACCAGTGTTAATTTAAGTGATATAACCAAGACCACCCTTGGTCTGATGCCAGTATATGGGTGCTTTGCAGTCTGATTTACCTACTCTGTTTTCTTGAGTTGCCTCTGGTTTCAGCCATGGTTAGGGAGGTGAGAAGTTAGGGGCTGGGTGCTGTGGGTTGATGGCTCCCTTGGCAGCAGAGCTAACCAGGCAGCTTCTGCTTCCAGAGACAGGGTAGAGAGGGAGAGTGAGGAGCTGGGTGAGGGACTGCTGAGCCCTGGCACTGCTCTGAGCCAGCACCAGCTTCCCCAGGTGATAACAAGGGTGCTGGTGTTTTGGGGGGACGTCTGTGATTTGCTTTTTCAAATGTAAAATTATATGTGTTTATTGGGGTGCTTTCTGCTTTGAAGTCAAAGGACAAAAAGTGCCCCTGCTGCACTGCACTGCTCTGGTTATGACTTTATTCCTGTTTTGAGATAAAAATTGAGGTTTAGTTTGAGTGTTCCAAAACCAGATACCACTCTCTCTCTCTTTCTTGTAGGCAGGGTGCTGCTGTGCCAGGCAAACCAGGAGGGATCTCCCGTGTACAGTGCCCCCAGTTCACTAGTATACACATCCACAAGTAAGCTAGTGTTATGGCTCTTGTTTTGTTTTGTTTTGTGACAAAAGCACCTTAATGTGAACCAAGCCCCCTAAAAATGTAAACTTGCCCAATAGCCACTGGTAAGGTAAATGTGCTCTTTATAAACATATGTAAGTTGTGTCAACAGATTATCCAGTGGTTTTAGTTGCACCTTTATTCTCAAAGTGTATTTTATTCAAAACAAATGAACAAAAAGACTACCTGTATTGCAATGTTCTACAGAAATGGCCAACGTTTCTGTGGTAGCAGTGACTCTTTTGGAATCCAGTACTGTTGTGCACTCTGTGTTTTGTGTAGAAGATGAAGTTGTTTCTTTTTTTTTGTCATGTCACACCTGTGATTTAATAACCAAAAAGTCTTGTATCATGCCACCATTTGATGGCATCAGGAAGCAAATGGATATGAAGTCTTTTTTAAAAAGGGAGAAAGATTGTCTAGAAGTGACTATTTTGAAATACAAAAAGCTGCCCAAAGGAAAAGAGCAGAGACAAGCTGAAATGGTAGGTGCAGCCATCAGCCAGTTTTCTGTACAAAACTTTTGAGTAGAAATGTGTCCTCTGAAATTCTGAATCAGAAGCGGAACCGATTCAATCTATATAAACAAGTGTTTTAGATTGTATTGGTGGTACCACTGTTGCCCATTCTGAAACTGTCAGAGAAGAAGCCTCTAGCTGAATGAAATAGTAATAATTGCTGTTTGCTGAGTTAGAGTGAACAGCAGCATTTACAATGTGTTCTTAGCAGTCCTCCAGAAAGGAATTGTTTTATGTTGTCCAATTTAACATGATCAGATATTCTCTTTGTGAAAATTGTATTCAGTCTAGAATGCAATTCTACTCTTTTAAAGCTGATCCAGACTACTAAAATAATTAGTTTCTTTTATTAATTAAAAGCAGGGATGAGGACAAAAGAGTGCTATAGTGATCATTTCTACAGTCATGTAACTCTCTTAAAGCAAAGACTATAAATATCATCCCTAGAGCTGCTGCTTTTACAGTATAAATACAGGATCTACTTTCAGCTCAGGAGTCCACAAATACATAGTGAAGTGACAAAATATGTGAAGTGTTCTAAATTGGAAATGAAATTACCAGTTCAATCTGCATTTGCTTCCAGATGCTTCAAGAATATTTTGTGCTGTGTCACCTTTCTCAAACAGTGGGGTTTGTTAAATCCTTGTAGTAACAAAGTTGAAATGCTTTTTAAGTCAGTGTTCCCTTTTGTACATTCTTAGTGCACTACTCCTGTTTGGCTGAAATATCAGTCTTTGACTGAAATACTTTTCCTAGAAAATTATCCCAATATTTAATTAATTTCACTGTTAGGGAGCTTCTCTTGGAAGAGAGGGTCTTTGTTTTCATTTTATGGAGGTCACTCTAAAACCTTTCTGAAGTTTACCCTGTTGCTCCTATTATCACACTGAGTTCTACCCTAGGAAATTTATTTCTGTGGTTGCTGTTTACATCATACGGTATTTCCACTATTATTAATTCCCTAGACAGTCGTTGCATAGCTAGCTAAGCTCTATACTCCACTGTTTCCATTATGTCTCATGAGTCATTCCCTTTGAAAAATCTTATTTTGCAGTGGTGCTCCTTGAATACTGATATCCTAACAAACACCTGTTTGTTTTCAATTATGCCAAATACGTAAGTAAACAGACTTGGCCTCTCTGCCTCCCACTGGGCAATGTGTAATACACAGTTTAATAACAGAGATCACTAGTAGCCCTTGCAGTAGAAATTATTACACTTTTGTTGAATCTGGCTCTGCAAGTCATGGTTTTTCTTTGATCATTATGTGTAGTATTCCATATTGCCAAAATGTAGTTCCCCCCCCAGGGTCACAACTCCCAATAATACAAAATTACTACAATTACTAATGAATGTAATGAGTTTTTTTAAAATTTCTTCTTATTACAAAACTTTCAATGAAGATGTAAAATAGTTTTGTTTCTATAGGAAATTCTACTAAGGAGTGAATAGAAATGAAGCTCAAGTTGTGTCTCGTTTCCTTTCGTTCACTAAAGATCTTCTGTATTCTATTTTTTATGTATATTCGTAATATTGAAGTGATAACTGCTAATTCAACATTAATGTCTAAGAGACTAATACTTTTACTATTATCATTCTGTGCAGACAACAATATTGCAGCCTTCATCTTTGAATAATTTGTTAATCATTCATTCTTAATGCCAGTATTGTAACCATGTAATATTACAGCTTACAATATAAGAACTAAGAAGTTTTAAATTTCT